ATTGTCCACTTGCATTGTGGTCTTGATATCTCTTACCGACACTAGCATCAACATCAGCATAACATCTCCCCGGCTTGGTGATCAGCCACTTGCTAGCCGGCTGGACAATCTTCGGATCTACACTGTAAGCGACATGAGGCTAAAGTATTCCATCCCACAACTGCTTGACTTGAGGAAGAACAGCAGTCCAACATATATCTCAGCCATTAAACAACTTAAACTTCAAAGCCGACCACGCTACATCCATAGAAGCTGCCGTAGAAAGTTTGTTCTCTCCCAGTCTGGCGACTCGATTCCATCCCTCTGGTCAGCCGAGCGCTCTGTCGCACGGCATCTACGTCATCAGAACGCCCCTCTACCTGGAGTAAATAGCGTTGAGGAAACCACGGAAACTACTTGGATAAGACCCGTCTATATGGAGCGGAACATAAAACGTGGAGTGGATTTCAGTCTACTTCGTTCTTTACAGCACATCACTCCAGCAAACATCAAAATTGAACTGTTTAACACACAGTCTCTCACAAATAAATCTTGTCTTATACACAGCCATATATTGGACCGGAATATTGATATCATGTGTCTTACTGAGACCTGGCATCAGCCAGGGGGCTTTTTTGTATTAAATGAAGCATGTCCTCCTGGTTATCAATACTTGGAGAAAGCCCGCCAATTCGGACGCGGCGGTGGTCTAGCAGTACTACACCGCAGTGACTTAAAACTCACCCACTGTCTCTGCCCGACCTGCTCACGTTTGAATGCCTTGCTTTCAGATGTAAACCCCCTTGCTCTATGACTATTCTTCTCATTTACCGACCTCCCAAGCAAAATCCAGCTTTTATCTCAGAGATAAATGAATTACTCACTTCACTCTGTGCTACATCTGCGAACATTGTTGTACTTGGAGATTTTAACATTCACGTTGACACCCCCTCCTGTCATTCAGCAGCTGATTTTCTACAGCTATTGGACGGTCTAAATCTCAAACAGCATGTTGACGTCCCAACCCATAACAGAGGACATACACTTGATCTGGTCATTACTGACTCTGCTCCCATTGAAAATCTGCTGGTATACGATCTTGGAGTGTCCGATCACAAAGTCATCTCAATGGAGGTGAACTTTTCTCATTACATCAAACCAAAACGTCAAATCTATTTCAGAAACATAAAAAATATCAACCCAGACAGGTTGGCTTTGGACCTTCTAAAAATCCCATCGGCAAATTTTACATCAGTAAATGAATCAGTGGATTTTTATAACAGCACCCTGAGCAGTATTTTGGACCTCCACGCACCTGTAAAAACACGAATAGTCACTTTCTCACGTACATCTCCCTGGTTCACTCCAGAACTACGGAAAATGAGAACAGCTGGTCGTGTACTTGAGCGGCGTGTTTCAAAAACGGGACTTACTGTTCACAAAATAGCCTATCAAGAACATCAAAAGGCCTATTCAATGTCGCTAAAAAAGGCTCGGACACAGTTTTATTCAAATATCATTAGTAAAAATAAGGGAAATTCCAAGCAGCTTTTCTCTACCATTAACCATCTCACCAAGCCACAAACTATTTCGCACAATGACACATCAGAAGAGAAATGCAACAGCTTCATCACCTTTTTCAGAAAAAAAGTTGAGAACATCCGCTCTCTCCTTTCCAGCACCCCTGCTTTGTCTGTCCCCACTGCCGATCCACAGCCTGGGACCTTCCAGTCTCTCTGTTGTCTTCCTGAAATCTCTAAACAACAAGTTGAGGACATCATCAGCAGGATGAAGGCTTCCACCTGCATGCTGGATCCTTTGCCTACAGCCCTAGTGAAAACACACATCAGCTCTCTTAGTCCTTTAATAACCAAAGTCATCAACCATTCTTTATGCACTGGTCACGTTCCATCTGCTCTAAAAACTGCTGTCATCAAACCCCTTCTAAAAAAACCCACTTTAGACCCTGAAGTTCTTGCTAACTACAGGCCTATTTCCAACCTTCCATTCCTGTCCAAAGTTTTAGAAAAAGTTGTTGCTGCCCATCTTCAGGATCATCTAAATTCAAATTTCCTTTTTGAAAAATTTCAGTCCGGTTTCCGTTCTGCTCACAGCTCCGAAACAGCCCTGATCAGGGTCACAAATGACCTGTTGATGGCGGCCGACACCGGCACACCATCGCTTCTCATCTTACTGGATCTTTCTGCAGCTTTTGATACGGTTGATCACAATATTCTCCTTCAGCGTCTCCATCATACTATTCGACTCTCTGACACTGCCTTGAGCTGGTTCCAGTCCTACCTGTCTGGAAGAACAGAGTATGTTTCCTTAGGAGGTGTAAAGTCTCAGACGCATACAGTCACTTGCGGTGTTCCTCAAGGGTCCGTTCTCGGCCCAATTTTGTTCATCATCTATACTCTGCCCCTTGGCCACATCATCGACAGACATGGAATATCATTTCATTGCTATGCCGATGACACTCAGCTATATATAAAAACTAACCTCATCCCATCTAAAGCCACTCTGGCATCTTTGAGCTCCTGCCTTGAGGAGATTGAGGCATGGATGAAGGCAAACTTTCTACAACTAAATAGCTCCAAGACAGAAGCTATTTTAGTTGGTACACCACATCAGGTCCAGTCATCACCCATAACCCACATTACCTTCTCTGGTCAAAACATTCGTCTATCATCAACAGTCTTAAACCTGGGCGTAAGATTTGATGCTCAACTCACATTTGACGCCCACATAAAACATCTGTGTAAAACCTCCTTCTATCACCTCAGGAACATTGCTAAACTCCGTCCCACACTTGGTCTGTCAGATGCTGAAAAACTTGTCCATGCTTTTGTATCATCGAGGCTGGACTACTGCAACTCTCTCCTCTTTGGGATTCCTGGCAAAAGCCTTCAAAAATTACAATACATTCAGAACAGTGCTGCAAGGATCTTAATGAGGAAAAGAAAAATTGAACATATCACTCCCATCCTTCACTCTCTTCACTGGCTTCCTGTCTCATACAGGATTAACTATAAAATCATCCTACTTACACATCAATGCATCCACGGCAACGCTCCCCCCTACTTAAAGGAACTACTCACAAAGCAAAACTCTTCACGTAATCTCCGCTCTGGAAACAAGGTCCTTCTTCAACCACCGAGAACTAAGCTCCGTACTATGGGGGATCGTGCCTTCTGCTCAGCCGCACCGCGTCTTTGGAATTCCCTTCCAGAAAACCTAAGGGCTCCTCAAGCCATAGACTCTTTTAAGAAAGGACTAAAAACCCTGCTTTTTAAGCAAGCATTTTTTACCTCTTGCTAACTTTTTAATTTTTCTACCTGGTTTTTATCTTTGTTTATACTCTGTTGCACTTTGGGATTGTTTTTAACTATGAAAAGTGCTTTACAAATAAAATATATTATTATTATTATTATTAAAAGATGAAGGAAAATTTGATTTCCCATGTCATAACCCATTTAATAGTTTAACATCTAGTCGTTGTTATATCTTTGGCCCTGTTCCAAATGCCACACTTCATGTGCTCATGGGGTCTTGTGGTCTTACAATGGCCTTCGCTTGCTTGTTTGTGTTAAATGGTAAATGGACTGCATTTATATAGCGCTTTCATAGACCTAATGGCCACCAAAGCGCTTTACATATTGCCTCACATTCACCCATTCACACACACATTCATACACCGACGGCGGTGTCAGCCATGCAAGGCGCCAGCCAGCTCGTCGGGAGCAGCTGGGGTTAGGTGTCTTGCTCATGGACACCTCGACACTTGGTCAGGTGGAACCGAGGATTGAACCACCAACCCTTCGGTTTGTAGACAACCCACATGAACCACTGAGCCACTGCCGCCCCATTAAGTTCACAATACCATAAGTTGTCCCACTTGTCATTGTAGGTTTCGAAAGGGTCTCCACACCTGACAGTCAAATAACCATTACATCATGAAAGTTGGACTCAGAGAATGATTGCGTGGGCTTAGGGATCTATCTTGGACAGGGGCACTGGCATTTCCATACACAGTGAAAGCCAGTGAAAGCTTTTATTTTGCAGTTCAATATTTTTATTACTAAATATATTATTAGCTAACAATCAAAAGTCCTCTTCAAAAGTTCATATCTATTTTGAAAATTCTTACATTTGATTTATTCCCTAGAAATAGTGCACCATCCTAAACATTTCATATTAATTTTGTATTATAACATTCCTTTGTTTAAAAATTAAAACTTGTTAGTGATTCTCAACTGTAAACAACGGTCGTTTAGTGAATATCATTCAGTCATGCATCTTCCACAGATCCCACAATTAAATCCCATTAAAGCTGCGCTGAACACTTGGTGGTGTCCTGCCCTCTCCTATTCTGTGCTGTTCTCAGAATTTGACATTTCATCAGAAGCCTGTTATTTTCCCCCTTCACAATATGATTTATTTAGTGCAGTCAAAGAGACACAGAAAGAGACGGCCTGTAAATAATTCAGCAAGGCTCATATAACACCAGAGAAGAACAACTGCCGTCTTCCCCTGCCCTCCATTAATGCTTAACATGCTTTAAAATGTATTATTTATTTTCAGTATTTTTATTTTTATTCAGTGTTTAGGTCATTTATATTTCAGGGTGTGAAAAGTAATAAATGAGTCGGTAACTAATAGGGACTTCTAGTGTCTGCTAACTTCATTACTGCTGCTTATTTCACCAGTAAAGCTGTCAGGGAATTTAGCAGAAATGAGTTTTTTTTTTCCTGCAGAATAGCAGTGATGTAGCATAGTGTGGTGGTCTCTGATCCATGTAACTCTTGAACGAAGCTGTTCCAGGAACGGTTTTCCCAGGTCGGGCTGTAACAGGAGCCGTGTTCTCCTCTGTTGTAAGTGGAGTTATCAACGTGGGTTTGATGAGAGAGGAAGAGGCTCTTATGTTCTTCTCTCTTGTTCTCTGGTCCAAAGAGCAACATCAGCTGTAGCACTTGATTTGAGTCTATCTTGAGGAAGAACATTTTCCACGGCTTATTGATATGGAAAATTTCTGGATGTATCAGGTAGATCGTCAACTTGGTGATGAGGTGAGGAGCTTTACGTAAATGTGGTTTGGATGTTTTAGTATCAACGTAAGTCAGTTTAAGTCAGATTAATGTAATTTAAGTTTAAATGACTTAAACATCCAACAAGAGACAGGATTGTGAAGTTGATTGTGCTAACATTTAAGGCAGCAACTTTTTTTTTTTTTTACAGTGTTCATTTCCATTCTACACATCTGATTATATTATTGTAATGGAGATACATTGGAGGGACTTGACTGTTTATATGTTATGACAAAGGATGAACAGGAAATATCTTTTAAATATTTCATTGTAATGTGCTCTGGTTATTCAGGGTATGAGTCATTTGTTCTCTAGTATTTCACATTTTGGACTCTGAACTGAACCTACTGCCAACAATAGTCATTTAATTGTCACATTAGTGTTTTTGGTTTGTGTCTTTTTGGTTTGAATCTACCTCATTGCTTTGCTATTTAAATGATACCAATTTCTTTTATTCATTTATTTAATTTATTCCAAAACTGTGAAGACTTGTATTAACATAATGTACTCTAAATGTTATTGAAAGTCTCAATACGTGATTAAATGTAGTTTTTGTGTATGAGTCATGGTCCAGAATGATAGACTGTAAAGCATGCAATATTAATGAATGTGTCTGTTTTGTCCAGTCTCCAGGCTCAGGCTCCACGTCCCCACAGGGGGCGGAGTCTTCCAGCCGTCCCCTGCCGCCACACGAGGGGAGCGACAGCTTTGAGTCTCCATCTCCAGCCAGTAAAGAGGTGGGAGGCTATGAATAGAGCTCTGAAACTGTGCTAAAAAATTGAAGATTTTTTTATTATTATTCTTGGTAATAATGTTGAGAAGGTGCTCTAGGATTTTAATTAGACACATATTACTGGCCACAGAATTATGGCCCTGACTGTGTGTGATTTAGAAGTTATTATAAATTATTCAAGAGACCGTTATAATAGATTAATTAGAGCAGATTCAAGTTTTAAACTGTATTTCTGCTTTGGCTATATAATGTATTCTTGCATTGCTATTTTGTTTTATTAATTCAGTTCATTTATAAAAAAAATGTATATATATATATATATATATATATATATATATATATATAGTGTATATATAGCGTATATATATATATATATATATATATATATATACACACACACACACACAAGAATGTCTTTTTTTTTTAAATGGTAACGCTGTACAATAAGTTCTTATTTGTTAACATTAATGTATCGATTTACATTAACTATGAGCAATAAGTTTGTTATAATATTTAAAATCTTGGTTTTATTCGACTTTTGATTTTAATAATTTATTAGTAAATGTTAAAAATAACATTCATTATATTGACAGACCCCGTTTGCAAACATGAGTTCACAGTGGAAATTCACCTTAATCACTGTCCAAGACTTACTGAAGGCAGAAGTTGATTTACATTTGCTAACGGTGGGAATTTGCATTGAGTTAACACCTTCTGAGAGCAGGAGGGTTTAACCATCCACCCTCATTTGTGTGTGTGTTATCTCTAAACTTTTAAAACCCTTATTACCTTTTGTTTGACTTATTTGGAAATGAGACATTTGTACCAGTCGCACTGAGACATTTCAAATGATACCAAACATGTGTAAAACAGTATGATTATTGTTAAAACCATTTAGATTCTTGTGTGAGTTTGCAAGAGTGAAGAATGTAGATTAGGAGGAGGGAGGTGAGACCTTCGTCTCAATAGTGCACGAGGGGGAGTTCAAATGTTCATTTTCAGCCTTTGTCCTTTGTCCACTCGTTCTTCAACCAGTTTTCCAGTCTTACAGTTTGATTATTATATTATATTGTGCAATATAGAAAGGGACACACCATACCTAAAAATAACAGCTTAATGAATGTTCTATTGAGCCATTTGTGTCTTTGTTGTTGTGTGTGCAGTCAAGGAGAAGTCTTGCTTCATTCCCGACATATGTGGAAGGTAAGATTGTCTGTCATTTCCTAATTGTTACAATTTTCAGGTCCTCAGCCGCCACATGTTTTGAAGATGAAAAGGATCTGAAATGTTCCTCTCCTCTCTATTAGTACCAGGCCCATGTGACCCAGAGGACCTCATTGATGGTATTATCTTTGCTGCTAACTACCTGGGATCCACCCAGCTGCTGTCAGACAAGACGCCCTCCAAAAATGTGCGCATGATGCAGGCTCAAGAGGCTGTGAGTCGCATTAAGGTGAGGTGAAAGGCCCCGCTGTAAAGATGTAAACCTGAGCTTCCATGAATCTATCTCAATAAATCTCCTAAGCAATACTTACTTCAGGATCAGCATAAATGTTCCAAGAAAGCAAAAGTGACAGTTTTAGGACAAAAGAATGGGAATTCATAAGGAATGTAGAGCTGTACTCTGACTTGTCATATACGGAGAGTGTACTATTGCGCAAGCATTTTATTCCTCGGATACAACATGATGAAGTTGCGTTTTGCAGACATGTTTTGTTGTTCGAATTGAAATGTCAGTTCACAGCAGAAGATGAGAGATGATCGTAAAACTAAGAGTGTGTGTGTGTGTGTGTGTGTGTGTGTGATCCTCTTGCGGTAATGATTCCATAGTCAAATGCAGAGACCTATCCCATGATTCTTGTTCCTTAGGATCAGAGACATTTACCACCTCCCTCCTGTTCATCCTCCTGCAGCATAAATCAGCCATTCGCCCTGTCAGCTGCATTACTCAGCATTTTTTACCTCCACCTTAAAAAATGCAGTGAGACCAACACCTGTGCCATTTAGTGTTCTTTCAGCATGTCCCTTTGTATGTACATTTTTTGTTAAAATGTTCAATTACAGATTGCTATGTGCTATTGCAGGCAACAATATCAGAATGGTTGATTGCTAATGATTATAATTATGAAGTCATTTAAAAAAGGTAACTGTGTGGACACTTTTGGCGCTTTTCCACTGCATGGTACGTTACGGCTCGCTTCGGCTTGCTTTAAATGGTCTGTTGAGGTTCCAAGCGTACCGTACTGGTACTAAATGTGACGTGAAACACTGCAGATCACTGATTGGTCAGACAGAATCGTCAGTACCAGCGTCATTGTATTTGCGAGCAATAGACATCGACACGAGAAACCAAACCCGCTAGATTTAAATAGCCAGTTACAGCCACCGCTGTTATTGATCAGTTTATAATCCCACCCACTTTAAAGGTCACTCTATCTGCAGTGGAAAAGCAACTGAGCTAAAGCAAGCCGAACCGTGCCGCACCGAGCCGAACCGGCAGTGGAAAAGCGCCATTTTATCAGCTTAGCTGAATAGAACAGCTTAAATCAGCATGAAATTCATGTCTGGTTAGCATTAGATTGGTGCTGGTCTAGCTGATGGACCAGCATTTACTTTTTCACCAAATTGACCAACGCCACTAAGAAAAATGTTTTTTAGAACATAGTTTTGTAACATTGATGTTAAGTTATGAAGATGTTATTTTTTCAAACATTTACACTCTCTCTCTCTCTATGCATATATATATATATATATATAAATATATGTTGCAAACATTTTGGGAACGTTCCTACAAGTTTGGGAACGTTCGTACAAGTATTAACTTTTAAAGAAATGTTAAATAAACTTCCAACTGAAATGTTTCAGAGAGAAAACATTCCATGACCGATGTATAAAATAATGTTTTGTGCTACTATTTTTATAATATTAGTAAATGTTAAATAGTGTAGTAAAATATTATAATATTGTTCATAACTTCCTTAGAGAACTTTACCAGAGAGTTCTGAGAACATTCCCTGTTAGCTGGGAAAGTAGTTCTAGATATTACTAGGGAATATATTAAGCAGCATAATGATGACACAGCACATCAACATCCAATGCTGGAGACACTTAAAATTAAATCAATAAAATAATTGAAAATGCTACAAGTAAAATTAGGCACCCTAAAATGGAAATGGATATTAAAATGGATATTAATTTTGAGATTTCCAAAACAAATACATTTAACATTGTTATTAAAGGGGCACTTGGCAACTATTTCAACTCAATAAATCCATTTAGAAATCTTTTGAATGGTTCAAAAACCTGTTCTGGAGAGAATGGTGGCTTTCCCCGCTCCCCCCAGTGTTCCCAGGCGGTAAACCAACCTTGCAACATGAGGACTGACATCCCGGTGAGTTGGAAATAGAAGTCTCGTGAGATGGAGAATGAGCGAAAAACACAAACTGCTTTATGACAATTCGACATAATTCTAAGATGCTGTGTATGATGTATTACCCACTTGGTAGACACAGCTCCACACGACAGAGTTGGCCGGCTCCGATAATAACCAACGCATTCTAATGCCAACGCATCATCTTTGCGTCAATTTTGACCATGCTTCAACATCCGACGCTTTAGGCACCCTTTGGTGTCAGTTAGATGATGCTTTCCTAGGGTGTCATCTAACTGACACTTTACCTTTAGTGTCAGTTAGATAACGCGGGTAGGTTGAGGTCTGGGGTAGGGTTAGGGTTAGACTACTAGGAAAGGGTGACTAAGGGTGCCTAAAGCGTCAGTTAGATGACGCATGGTCAAAAGCGTCAGTTAGATGACGCCTTGGGATGAGAACGGGCTGTAATAACACATGCACATGAGTAGTGGTAAAAAGCGGGAGGAAGACGCCCCAAGTGAGTTTCTTTACAGTGTTGTGAAATATACACCGCACAGCTGTAGGGGGCGCTGATGAAATCACATGCCACAACAAAAGTGGAAATCAGCGAAGAAGTGACTAGAGTTGCCAAGTGCCCCGGCTTTAACAGTGTAATTTTTTTTTCAAAATGAGCAGCACAATTAAATATCCAATATCTAAATTGATTGAAATAAATAAATTAATAAGTACATTAAATCATCCCATAACTGATGGATATCATGCATCCCTATTACCCGATCTGGTTTTCTTAGCAGTTAAAGCTATGGTATACGATGTTAAAAATTGGTCGAGACGGTAGGGAAGTTTTAAAAAACTCATCCCACCCCTCCACACACACCCCCCTCCCCTCTGCGCTACCTGATCCCTGACGTATGTCACGTTTGAGTTCACGTCAACGCAAGATTAGCAACACATGAAATGTTCTAAACTCCCCACCACCATTATAATACCACTAGTATTGCTGAGGTTTTCAGTAATTGTTATTGTAGCACGCAGCGCATCTTGTTCAAATTCCGATCGGCTCGAACAGAAACCTCGAACAAGAAATATAATTACTTTGAACCGCGATCGGTGATGCTAAACGGCTAACATTCCAATGCCGACCGGCAGCATGAGCAAGTTGTCAAACTGATAAAAAGCCACGTAACACGTCACACCAAAAAAGAATAAATAAATGTTTACCTGCTCAACAAAAAGTCATCCGTGTCAGCGTCGTTTTCAGCCCCAGGTCTCCCTGAAGCTTTCTCCAATGGTCAATGAAGGACGCTATATTTATCCTACTTAGAGTCCGGCGTTCTTCACATTTCTTTTTAATCTCTGATCTTTCCTCCACAGACTTTCTCTTGCGTCCAAACTTTACAGTAGAGGCAAGCAGGGGCCCCTTGCTGTTGTCGTTTATATTTTTATCCATTGCTTTATCCATTGCTGATCTGACGCTACTAGCTAGCTACCATAGACAGTCTGTCAGCTGTTTGCTCACGCACGGAGGGGGGCGGGGGCGGGTGCGGTTGGGTTGGAGACGCGAGCGCCAGGCGGAGTTTCAAGTGGAGCTGGTAATTGGATGAGAGCAGTTGACCAATATAAGCTGTGCGGCCGCACAGCTTACATTGGTCAACTTTTCTGCGGCTGTACAGCCAATAGAGTGAATGGATTTTTTTCGTTCTTTTTTCTTTTCATATTGTTAGGATTGTACTATATAACCATAACCAGCATCTAAACGAGGATATTAATAATGAACAATCTTTGAAATCGTATACCCTAGCTTTAAGGTTGAAGGGTTCCTCAAATGAGTTTTGGTCAAATATTGACAGGGAACCTTGACACTAATTTAATATTTACAGAATAGTCAATATGCTGTCCTTTTGTAGATTATCTGATTTAACCGTTTTGTAGATTATCTGATTTAACCGTTTTGCTTAAAAGACCAAGAGTTACATTTTACATCACCTTTTTCCACTTCTCTTGTAATGGAGCTCCTTAGAATTAAAAAAGCTTAATGTGGGCCAAATAGATGTAAAATCTTGGGATTTATGCACTTGACCCTCAAAAGACAGTATGTAAATATGTAAATGCTTATGGGTTAAGGATACCAAGGACGATTACTATAAAGATAACGATAAAGGTAAAGTTCTACAATTCGTTATCAATATTAAAAAACACGGCACTAAGAAACAATATTGTTGGAATCACTTTCAGAATATAGTTATATTTATATATATTTATCGTTTTTAAAGACAATAGAAAAAATGGTTAGCATTGGTTATTATGTGTTCTTTGTTTTATTGGCTCACTCACACCTCACCTGCATGTGTGAGACACCGAACCTTCTCCCATGCACAACCATGAGCTCAAAATGAGTGACATCCTTGAGGATCGTTAATATGGGGGTTTTAGTAACTTGACAGTTTCAATGTGGTACATAAAACAAGTGTAAATTGCATGCATTTGGAGAGACATCTGAATCAATACACCCTGCCTCAGCTGCCATGACGTAGATCTTCCTTAGATGGCCAGTTCGATCCATTATCACAGCCTGCTGGCAAGTTTGAACTTGCTCTTAATCTAATTTTCAGCAGAATTCATCCGTGCTTTGTATAGTTGATGTTTTATGAACAGGATGTTCTGTAATATAACACCAATAGTAGAGATAAGATATTAAAAGAACAAATAGGCCACCTGGTGGATGATGGTGCAAATTGCCATGAAAAGAAACCAAAGGCAACATATTGTTGCAGGGTGGTGTCCAATAATCTTGGCTTGGTGTCATCTGAATCCGTACTACAGCTGATAAAAATGCAGTCACTTTTCAGATGCAGCGTGTTGAGCAGAGAGATACCTCAAATGTGATTGGTCTTGCTGAGCTCTGCTTTATCTAACACTGTTCCTGTCTCTGTTTGTTCCATGCTAAGCAGACGGCCCAGAAATTAGCCAAAAACAGGAAGAAGGTGCAGTAATTGGTCATCGGTTTGGTGTTTTGTTTTTATTTTTGTTCTTCGTCTTCTTCTTTTGCCTGGTTTCAGCACTTCAGTGTTTTCATAATTTCTGTCGCTCTGCCATTTTTTTTTTCTGAATCCAGCAATGAGTCATGTACCTGTGTCCGTCCGCACAGTCTGTTAGCCATTGTTCATTCCACACCAAACATTACCTCAGTTCTACCACCAGATCTGACATGGGGAAGCCGTGGAATATGTTAAGGCCAGGAATGTCTAGTTTGCTGGATACAGAAAATGCAAGTGATCTTTACTTTCTTCTTCTTTGTACCTGATCTTTTTCTTTCTGAGGTACTGTGCTGTGTTTGTGACTGTTTTTGAAGGTGTGTATCTGGCACAGCATGTTTTGCACTTCTCTTGGTCTTTTTTTTTATTCAGCTGTCCAGCACTTGGTTGAAAACTCTGTATCCCTCTCTTTCTCTTAACTTACTGAACTTCTTCAAATGAAGAACAAAACTAACCAAACTAACCCCATGCCAACTTGCAATACTAGCTGGCTTAAAAAAAAGCACAGGTTATCAGAGTTACACAATGAAGGAGATAGTTTAAAATAATTTGAATATCTGGTCTTAAATGTTGGGAGATGTTTGTACGCTCCTTCATGGCATCTCTGGGCCTTGTCAGCTCTCTCTCTCTCTTTCTCTCTGTCAATGTCTCTCTCAGTGACTGATATTGTGTGATTTTCTTCATCTTCAGGCTCCAGAAGGTGAAGCTCAGCCCATGACGGAAGTGGATCTCTTCATCTCCACTCAGAGAATCAAAGTGCTCAATGCAGACTCACAGGTACTTCATCACACACGACTTGGGTTTCTGCACCTTTTTACCAAAAGTGAGCAAAATACTAGAGCAGACATCACAATGAGTTAGTAAAGGTACAGAATACTTAATTATCACGAGAAACTGAATTTTTCTTGATCTTCAATAAAAATAAAAATACACACCACCATTTAAAAGTTTGGCGTCAGTAAGAATTCATTTTAAATTGAATTAATACTTTGTCTCAGTTCCTGTTTCCTTTATTCCAATTGCTAGTTTGTTTCTATGGTTACCCATGATCATCATCTGCATCGTGTTAATTTAGCTTGTTATCCCTGTGTGTCTATATATATATATATATATATATATCCCTTATTTTATTCTGTGACCTTTTATTGTCTTTACGTGCTTAAAAAGCTGTTGAGATTTCCTGCTCCTACATTCATTTTGTGAGTTGTATTCTTTGTTATATTATTAAATATTAATGCTGCTTTGAGATCTGGCCTCAACTCTTCCTTATGTCTGAGCATGACAGAATGACGGACCCTGGGAGTATGCTAGGCGTCCATCTCCTACAGTCTCTTCCAGTGTTGTGCCTGAACTATCGTTCATTGAACGCGTTCATATTTTGGGGCGAACGTGAACTGAACGTACTGTATTACTGCCTGATGAACGTTACTGTGAACGCGTTCATTCTGGTGTCTGTGAACGCACGTTCTCTCAGTTTAACTTCGTTCAATAGGGTGCCAGATTTCTATAGAGCCTTCCAGGCCAAAACCTGGCTAAAACACACATAAACAGGCCTTAATATGTAGCGGGAAAAAAACTATCTGGCAACACAAGACACCAGTGTCGCACCGCGGCTGCCGTCGACAAAGCAGCGAGCGAGGAGGCGTCGTATGATCATTTAAACGAGTTTTATGATGAGGTCGGTGAGGATGGGAAAAATCTTACATTTCTGTGCAAACTGCCCATCGATAAAATAATTGTTGTCTGTGGTTGTATATGGGCTGTGGCAATAATAATAATAAAAAAAGCTTGCAACATATAGAAAAAAAAGAACTATGAATGAACTAGTTCATTTTTGAAGTATGAACTATGAACTGAACTAGTTCATTTTAAAATGAGTGAACTGAACTTTGAACTAGTTCATGTAGAAAGTGGACTTTTCCAACACTGGTCTCTTCCAATGGGGAACTCCAGCTGCTCGTTGCGGCAATAGAGTTTGCATTGTTGCTGGTTGGTTCAACAGACCCAAAGCCAAAGCTTGCACCCTCCACAAACCCAGAGCCCACTCCAACCATGAACCCTTAATTGGTGGAGAGGATCCTCCAATGTCTTCCAGGAGCCCAAGCTATTCACCCAGGCTAGTCAGGAGCTAAAGCCAGATGCCATGTCCATCCCTCTGGGAGTTTTGATGGACTTGTGGACTCACAAGAACCATTTTTCACCCAACTGCTCACCCTAGTATGCCTCCCTCCATTGGTTTCATCCAGCTCTCTGCTTGTTCCACCCAGTTTCCTCGATCCACTTCCTCTGCTGGTCATGCCCAGCTTTCCACCTCCTTCATCTACTCTGGCTTTGTGACCTCCTGGGTCCTTCTTCATCGCTGGCTCCATCCAGCTTCCTGGCTCATTCTTCATTGCTGATTTCTCTCTTTCTCTGCTGGTTCCCTTGGTTCACCTTGGGCTTCCCGGCTCCCAGCTCTTACTTGGTCTTCAGCTTCACCTTGATCTTCTGGGCTTAAAGGAGCATTTCACCTATTTCAACATTAATCTTCATTGAAAGTGGATCATATATGTAGTCGAAATGTTAGAGAATTTTTGAATTTGGTGCCCTCTTGACCAAGAAAAGACATTTGTATGTAAGACAACAAATCCCATAATGCACCACATTCCACAGCTCCGCAAGCCACACCCACTAATCCGAAACAGCGCAAACAGAGAAATCACTCTTCTGTCTACAAGGCTAACGTTTGCTTTTACCAGAGTTTGAAATTCATTTCACACAAAATTTCTAGTTAGTTGGCTGTGGCGAGTAGGATGAGGGCGACTGGGCGAGGGATGTGAGAGGATGGCGGGAGGTCGGTGGCGTGAATGATAATGAAAGACACCAGTGAGTCTCGCATCTCTCGCGGAGGAACGGAGGCTTAAACGAGGAGCGACGACGGCAGATTGAGAGAGAAGCAGGCCTGATTTTATTTTGTGTTTTGTTTCTGTTATGTGTGGACAGCAGTCATCAATGAGGGGCTGCTGGCTTATACTTTTGTTTTGTATTTGTTCAATTTACTATTAAAATGTTTAAATGTTCACCGGTTCCCACCTCCTTCTTCCCACAACAACGAACCCCGTTAACATTACATTGGCAAACTCATAATTGAATTACTCCTCGTTTGTATTTATATCTGTATGGTGAATTACTGCATGATACCGGGATGTTCAGTCAGGCGAAACTAGGATGGTTCAAATCACAACACAAACGTCCGTGTGCTCGTCTGATTCAGGGATTTCCTCCAGGAGAAATTGCCATTGTTGAAATTCTCTGCAGCAGACGGACTCTATCTTTGTCCGTAGCTCACAGCGAGAGCATATGCACCAGCTTGAGCCAGTCCGGGCTCCTCGACCGTGACAGGCAGCCGCCTCCGGTTCCTCCATCAGCCTCAGCTGTTCTTCACTATACTGCGACTCGTAAACATAGCCACGCACATGGGATCCGAGCAGCAGAATTTCAAAATCCTCTTTTTCCATATCATGTTTAGTTTCTTTCGTCATTGTCATAAATTCCTATCTCCATAGCGCTGAAGTCCCACCCACTGATCTGTAATAGGCCTGTAGGGTGAGTGGGTCCCACCCCCTTGAATAATAATGAGCTAATGTTTGTAGTCTCTACACTTTTATGAAATGTGACTTCCTGCTTATTATGACGCAAAATGAAGATTTTTTACGTCATAATTAGCAGGAAGTAAAACACTTAAATCCTTATTTCTCCCATCTCAGGGGAAAATAAGGGAACAAACCATGACCATTCAAAAAATATGACTGGGTTTCTAAAGATACAAAGCTTAATGCAAATGGGTGAAGTGTCCCTTTAAGAGTCTGCTTCGGCCCATCAATTAATCTGCTCCACTGTGGCTCCTCGCTCCCTCGGTTCCAGCGTGGCTTGTCATTCCTGCGGCTTCACTGGGTTCCCTCGTCCCATCGTCGCCACCTCGGTCTGTCATCCTCCTGGCTCCTTAATCCGGATTAATGTAATGTTCAGCCTGAGTTTCATTTTCATGGACTTACATGTTCTTGTTTTCCAAATTCTTAGTTCCTGTTCCTTTTTATTTCTGTCGCTAGCTTGTTTCTATTCCTTGTCGGTTGTTGTCTTTCAGTGCTTAGTGGTTTCATATTCCTGATCCTACAGTTTGCAATTTTGCATTTTGTGTTATTTTGTTAAATAAATTAATGCTGCTTTGAGATTCTCAATTATTCATTGAGTCTTTTTTCAAAAACAAAAAATATTTTTTACCAAACAGCAAACTTTTAAATTTTAGTGTACTAAAAAATGAATACTAGCTGAAACCTGGCTACATTTTGGGTTGATTTAAGAAATTTACAAATAGGGTTTGAAAAATAAACTTTTAATAATTTTTAAAAGAATCTTAAAACAACTTAAATGAACTTTTGGCAGTTTTTTTTCCGGTATGTTTATCTTCAATGTTTTATGGAATAAAATTATTGATTGAAAAAAAATATTATATTTATATATTATAATATATATAAATATATATAGTGTGTGTGTGTGTGTGTTTGTGTGTAGAAATAGATTAAGCTTTGAGAATTGATCTTACCATTACAATCTTCTCCTGATTCACAGGAGACCATGATGGACCACCCTTTAAGGACCATCTCTTACATCGCTGATATTGGGAACATCGTGGTGTTGATGGCCAGAAGGAGAATGGCTCGCTCTGACTCTCAGGAGAACATGGAAGCCTCTGACCCTGCCCAGGACGAGAAGCGGCAATACAAGATGATCTGTCACGTGTTTGAGTCTGAAGATGTGAGTTCTTCATCCCAGCTATGTGCCAGTGTGACCTTATCAGCCGGCGACTACAGGAGGCTGTCATGGCGACAGATTCAATTTATTGCTTTAGCATTATAAAACAATACATTCTAAAATGGATTTACACACTTCATTTTATAATACTGCTGTTGTTGCGGTTGATGAAAGCCACTCTAGGCTGTTTATTACAGTGGTTTTACCACAGTTAAGGGGAGGTCAACCACAACACACAACAGCAACTCCCTTCCATATTCACCCTTTGCACTTTTTCCACATTTAATCATCCAAAATTGCCCAATATTTCTCAGTCTCTTCACATTTTCAGGTTTACAGTTCTCCCAGCATGTTCAGCATTGCAGTCACTGGCCATTGTGGTAGTGACCTCTAATAGCATTAATCCAGATGGTGTTCCTGGGCATCTTGCGTGGGTTGAATCAGTAGACAGAAAGTGACCTTTTCTCTGTTCGGCTGCAGATGCTATTTGAATTCAAAGAGCCCGTATATGTCACATCTTATGTCTCAGCACAGTGTACAACAGTGACATGCCAAACAGTGACAAACGGCGTGTATGCGACTATCCTGAGGGATGCCGCCCTTGTCGTCTCTTGACCCATGTGTTTAACTGTCATCAACTGCGGTCCTTTAAAGGGACACTCCACTTTTTTTTGGAAATAGGCTCATTTTACAACTCCGCCAGAGGTAAACAGTTGAGTTTTACCGTTTTCGAATCCATTCAGCCGATTTTCTGATATTTAGAAGAATATCAGTAACCAGTCAGTTTCTGGTCTCATTTACTTCCATTGTAGGAAAAAATATATACTATGGAAGTCAATGAGACCAGAAACTGTCTGGTTACTGATATTCTTCTAAAAATCAGAAAATCATCTGAATACATTCGAAAACGGTAAAACCCAACTGTTTACCTCTGGGGGAGTGGTAAAATGAGCCTATTTCCAAAAAAAAAGTGGAGTATCCCTTTAAAAAAGTGAAATAAATCATCAAATTGTATTTATTCAATGTAATAATTTAGTTATTTAACATTCTATTAGTTTTATTTATTCATTTTACCTGATTTCTATTTGTGCTCAGGCTCAACTCATAGCTCAATCCATCGGCCAGGCTTTCAGTGTGGCGTACCAAGAGTTCCTGCGTGCCAATGGCATCAACCCAGAGGATCTGAGCCAGAAAGAGTATAGCGACCTCCTTAACACACAGGACATGTACAACGATGACCTCATTCACTTTTCCAAGTCTGAGAACTGCAAAGATGTAAGTGGACAGCACATGCCTTGTGGAAACAGAAGATTACTGTGAAATTTTGAGAATTTGCCTTGATAATGTCAGAATTATCAGTAATGTTGATTAAATCGTGTTTTAGTGGTGATAAAAGTGGTGGGTGTATGTCTGTGCACTACAGGTTTACATAGAAAAGCAGAAGGGAGAGATTCTTGGGCTGGTGATTGTAGAGTCGGGCTGGGGCTCCATCCTTCCCACAGTTATTATAGCAAACATGATGCACGGCGGCCCGGCAGAGAAGTCAGGCAGGCTGAACATTGGGGACCAGATTATGTCCATCAATGGTACTAGCCTGGTGGGATTACCCCTCTCCACCTGCCAGAGTATTATCAAGGTACAAGTGGACTTTAAGTACACTTTATGTGCAAAAATATTGTGAAAGATTTAATTCTATTTCTAATTTACTGATTTTATTTTTTTAGCTAATTCTTTTACATTCAATGTATTGTGTCAAACATATTGTGCTTCTAGGGATTGAAGAACCAATCCAGAATAAAGCTTAACATTGTGAGATGCCCACCTGTGACCACTGTCCTCATCAGAAGACCAGACCTGAGATATCAGCTGGGATTTAGTGTGCAGAATGGCATTGTAGGTATCTTGGATTTATTAAAAAAAAGAGAGAGAGATTTTTTTTTTTGTTTCTATTGGTATAAACTGATATTGTATATGAATATGGATTAGTATATTTAGCAAATCTGAAATGAATATTCATTTTTCATACTGTGTATTATAGTGTTATGATGCATAATGTTGATGTTAAAATTCTTTACTCTTTTTTTCTACATAAATGAAAAATAAAACACTTGATTTTTATTTTTACTTTATGAAGAAAAAAAAGAGTAAATAATTTTAACATCAACATTACAACATTGTTATTGACCTTTATGGTTATTAATACTTTAATGTTGCAGTCGTAGTTTGGTCAATTTTTGGTCACACTTTAGTTTTGGGTCCAGCTCTCACTATTAACTAAGTGTTAACTATGACTTTTGCCTCAATAAACTCCTAATAACTGCTTATTAATTATTAGTAAGTAGTTTTTAAGTTTAGGTATTGGGTAGGATTTAGGGATGTAGAGTGTGGTTATGCAGAATACGGCATTAATAAGTGCTTTATACAAGTACTAATAAACAGCCAATATCCTAGTAATATGCATGCTAATAAGAAACTAGTTCAGAGTCCAATTCTAAACAGACAAAAACACACTTACTAAAACTTTAACTAAAATGAAAATGAAAAATACTAAAATGTATTCAAAAGATTGCCAAAAAAAAACTATAATAGTATCTCAATGCTACTATAATCTGGTCTGAAGTACAACTTTAATGTATTTTGCATTCTCCAGATTTGCAGTCTCATGAGAGGAGGGATAGCAGAGCGCGGTGGGGTCCGTGTCGGCCACCGGATCATTGAAATCAATAGCCAGAGTGTTGTGGCCACCCCTCATGAGAAGATTGTACACATTCTGTCTAATGCAGTTGGTGAGGTAAGTTTGGGGATCATGATCGAGCTCCACATCTGCCTAACAACATAATATTTTTCACATCACTAATTCTCACTAATGAGGTAATAACCCTATTTATTTAAATTATGATCATGAAACTACAGAAACGTGGCACCTGGTTTAGCTCTGTTTCATGTAGATCACAGCCGATCAACAGTGGCCCAAAAAAGGCTTTTGGACAGTTTTCTCAGAAGTAATTTTTGCAACGAACAGGTGTCCTATCAGAGTAACCACAGGTGTTGTTCATCGGGATAACTATCATGATCCACTAATGTTTGGCAACCAGAAAGGGTCAAAATACTTTGGGTACGCTCCTGACAACAATGTACTTTTACATTTTTCACATACAGATGACAACATGGTCAAAACAATCACCGTTCACACAGATCCGCGAAAATGACCAAAATCGATGTATTATTCATGCCAGGCCAGTAGTTGGTGATTGTGGATTTTTTCCTGTACCTGACTACCCTACTATAATACTTACTCTAGTCGGCCAAGTCTTATACTTTTACCCTAGCGCGACTACACATCGACGTCCGCTGAGCACTAAACCTATAACCCTAGCGCATCTACAGGCGACATCCGCCGGGTACTAATCCTATAAACCTACCGCATCTCCAGTCGACGTCCACCAGGTGATAATCCTATAACCCTAGCGCATCTCCAGTCGACGTCCGCCAGGTACTAATCCTATAACCCTAGCACATCAACAGTCGACGTCCACCAGGTACTAATCCTATAACCCTAGCGCATCTCCAGTCGACGTCCACCAGGTGCTAATCCTATAACCCTAGCGCATCTCCAGTCGACGTCCACCAGGTGCTAATCCTATAACCCTAGCGCATCTCCAGTCGACGTCCACCAGGTGCTAATCCTCTAACGCTAACACATCTACAGTCAATGTCCGCCTGGTACTAATCCTATAACCCTAGAGCATCTCCAGTCGACGTCCACCGGGTGCTAAGCCTATAAGCCTAGCGCATCTACAGTAATGTCCGCCAGGTACTAATCCTATAACACTAGCGCATCTCCAGTCGACGTCCGCCGGGTGCTAATTCTATAACCCTAGCGGATCTCCAGTCGACGTAAGCCGGGTACTAATCCTATAACCCTAGCTCATCTCCAGTCGATGTCCGCCGGGTACTAATCCTCTAACCCTAGCACATCTACAGTCGATGTCCACCGGGTGCTAATCCTATAACCCTAGCGCATCTACAGTCAATGTCCGCCAGGTACTAATCCTTATAACCCTAGCTCATCTCCAGTCAATGTCCGCCGGGTACTAATCCTATAACCCTAGCTCATCTCCAGTCAATGTCCGCCGGGTACTAATCCTATAACCCTTGCACATCTACAGTCGATGTCTGCCTGGTACTAATCCAGGTGCTAATCCTATAACCCTTGCGCATCTCCAGTCGACGTCCACCAGGTACTAATCCTCTAACGCTAACAGATCTACAGTCAATGGTACTGGTACTGGCCTGGTACTAATCCTATAACCCTAGCGCATCTCCAGTCGACGTCCTCCAGGTACTAATCCTATAACCCTAGCTCATGTCCAGACAATGTCTGCCGGGTACTAATCCTATAACCCTACCACATCTCCAGTCGACGTCCGCCGGGTGCTAATTCTATAACCCTAGTGCATCTCCAGTCGACGTAAGCCGCGTACCAATCCTATTATCCTAGCGCATCTCCAGTCGACGTAAGCCGGGTACTAATCCTATAACCCTAGCTCATCTCCAGTCAATGTCCGCCAGGTACTAATCCTATAACCCTAGCGCATCTACAGTCGACGTCCACCGGGTACTAATCCTTATAACCCTAGCACATCTACAGTCGATGTCCGCCGGGTACTAATCCTATAACCCTAGAGCATCTCCAGTCGACGTCCACCGGGTGCTAATCCTATAACCCTAGCGCATCTCCAGTCAATGTCCGCCGGGTACTAATCCTATAACCCTAGCGCATCTCCAGTCAATGTCCACCAGGTACTAAACCTCTAACCCTAGCACATCTACAGTCGATGTCCGCCGGGTACTAATCCTCTAACCCTAGCACATCTACAGTCGACGTCCACCGGGTACTAATCCTTATAACCCTAGCACATCTACAGTCGATGTCCGCCGGGTACTAATCCTATAACCCTAGAGCATCTCCAGTCGACGTCCACCGGGTGCTAATCCTATAACCCTAGCGCATCTCCAGTCAATGTCCGCCGGGTACTAATCCTATAACCCTAGCGCATCTCCAGTCAATGTCCACCAGGTACTAAACCTCTAACCCTAGCACATCTACAGTCGATGTCCGCCGGGTACTAATCCTCTAACCCTAGCACATCTACAGTCGACGTCCGCCGGGTACTAATCCTATAACCCTAGCGCATCTCCAGTCGACGTAAGCCGGGTACTAATCCTATAACCCTAGCTCATTTCCAGTCAATGTCCACCGGGTACTAATTCTATAACCCTAGAGCATCTCCAGTCAATGTCCGCCAGGTACTAATCCTTATAACCCTAGCTCATCTCCAGTCAATGTCCGCCGGGTACTAATCCTCTAACCCTAGCACATCTACAGTTGATGTCCGCCGGGTACTAATCCTATAACCCTAGCGCATCTCCAGTCGACGTCCACCGGGTACTAATCCTATAACCCTAGCGCATCTACAGTCGACGTCCACCAGGTACTAATCCTTATAACCCTAGCGCATCTACAGTCGACATCCACCAGGTACTAATCCTATAACCCTAGCGCATCTACAGTCGACGTCCACCAGGTACTAATCCTATAACCCTAGCGCATCTACAGTCGACGTCCGCCGGGTACTAATCCTATAACCCTAGCGCATCTACAGTCGACGTCCACCAGGTACTAATCCTATAACCCTAGCGCATCTCCAGTCGACGTCCACCGGGTGCTAATAATTCTAACTTACTTGTTCTTGCTGTGCAGCTTAAATAACAGACAAACTCAAGCAAAAGTCTTTTCAATGCTTTTAATTACGGCCAGGAGAGTTCTCAAGCAATACTACTAATACTAATACTACTAATAATACTAATACTACTACTATACTAAAAACAAGGCCGGTGGATCTCAGACAAATTCCATTGAGAATCCCCCAGAAAACATTCATACAACAGTTTTTATACAATAGGGAGGTATATCAAATGTCATTAATGTGATTGATTCTTCATTTACAGTATCTTCTGTTACTAGGTAGAGGAGACTTTGTTTTAATGATTACTTCATTGATGACAAGTTCTAACTTAGTCATCTGTCTAGTTCCATTTCCCATATTTGTTATTTATACATACAGTCAGGCATTTGACACACATCTTAAGTACAGAATGTCTTAGTACATTGTCTCAGAGATTTAGCAGGTTAAATGAGGTCAAATGTTAAAACGTGTTTAGCTTAATATTCAGTTTAAATTTTCCACCACACAATGTCACTTTGTAAAGAAACACTACGTGCCTATAGACTGAACACATAAAGCTCATGTGCATGACATCACCATTTTCACAAATTCGCATATTTGGTTTTGAAATACTCTGTTCAAAAGTTTGCGTTTTCAGTCCCCCAAACGGCAGATGTCATGTAAATGAACGTCCAGAATGAATAAAAAGCCCCTTAAAGGGACATTGTGTAGGAATTTCTCCCATCTAGTGGTGAAATTGTTTTTTTTTTGCGTTCAAACTAATTGTGCTCTCCAGTGCCTTACTTTTTCAAAGGTGTGTTGCATCTATGGTAGCCATTATGTACCAAAAAGCTATGACAGGATGTCTTCTAATATGACAGGATGTCTTCTAATATGACAGGATGTCTTCTAATATGACAGGATGTCTTCTAATGTCGCACTTTGTCAAGTTTTTCCTTGGGGTGAACAAGTTGCAAGAACATTATATATTCTTATCGAATTTCTAGGTTACAAAAAGTAAACTTGCAAACCTTGTTTTTAGCGTCTTCTCAAATTTACTCATCAAAGAGCCTGTTTAACTTTAACTATAAATGTTCTACTGTCTATATATAATAAAGTACACAACCAAACAATGAAAAAAAGCTTGTAAACAAGAGTGTAACATTGACTAACCTGTCGAGAAGAAAGCAGGACTACAGCATCTCTTTCCACCTGGAAAATGCTATCCTGACATTAACTCGTTTTTTTTTTTTTTTTGTAATCTCCGGTCACGTTTCGTTTTACGTTCTATTTTGACCCTATCCGGTCGTACTTTTTGGGCAACGAGGATGTCTTCTTCTGTGGTTCGGCAAAAATAACTTTTTTAACTTGCCGGGGCAATGACAAGTGGCTCTCACTGCTCTGCTCCTCCGTTTCGCGACGCTGGCTCTGAATGAAAACGCATTGGCCAAGTACTTTTTGTCCCTCTGTGCCATAATAATTTTTCAAGATGGCAGAACTACTTGGAAGCCTCCATGGATCTACCCATCCCATGTACAAGTATATAAAGATAATAAAATTCTTTGTTTACGAGGATAAGTCAGATAATTGGCAGAGGTATTTGTACACCATTGAGGACATATTTATGAACACAAATATTGATTTTAAATAAAATATCTAAAAAAGTACACATCGTCCCTTTAAAGGAATGTCCCAGGTTCAGTACAAGTTAAAGGACAACTCCGGCGCAAAATGAACCTTTGGTCTAATTACACATTGCTACCTAGTCAACCGTTATCTGAGATTTGTTTTCATGATTGCCGAATATAAATAGTTTTATCTCTAAAAACAGTTTAGCCTATACCGCTAGTATAACGCTAGTATATGGGGCATAGAGTAATGACAAATAAAAATCGCTTGTTATTACCACTAACAAGGCTCAACTTCGCGAATACAGGAAGAAGCCATCTTTTAAAAAATAGTCTCTACCAGTCGATCTACGAACGCCGATCCAAGTGCGATGAACTGTGCAGAATCTCATATGGTCCGTTGTTTTCAGAAGAAAAACAAACACGAACCGTTTTCTTCTCTTCAATATGTACACGTAGTACTGTTCGCGCTCACCTTATCACCTTATTCACATCTCACCAGCGCACATGGATCGGTGTTCGTAGATCGACTGGTAGAGACTATTTTTCAAAGATGGCTTCTTCCTGTATTCGCGAAGTTGACTGTGTGTATAAAATATCTTCTTATTAAACTGTATGGACACTGACAAAGTTCTCAATGCTTCGGTTTGAATGTAGGGACACTTATTATGCTGTCGTGTTAGTGTGGGGCTATTTTGAACCTTGTTAGAGGTAATAACACGCGATTTTTATTTGTCATTACTCTATGCCCCATATACTAGCGTTATAGGCTAAACTGTTTTTAGAGATAAAACTATTTACATTCGGCAATCATGAAAACAAATCTCAGATAATCTCATTGTGTAATTAGACCAAAGGTTCATTTTGCGCCGGAGTTGTCCTTTAAGATCAACAGAAACACTGAATTCCATTTTCTTTCTCTTCTATTTGTCCTTAATGAGCACATGCATGCAATATTTTCAAAATGCCCATTTCACAAGTATCCTCGTGTAAGTTCTCATATTGTTAAATAAATCGCCCACCACTAGTTCACACTTATATATTTTGACATTTGTCTTGAGTGTCTAAATGGTTTTTGCAGTCACTTGAACCCGACTCTCACGTTTCACCCCTCTCTGAACAGATTCACATGAAGACTATGCCGGCCGCCATGTACCGCTTGTTAACAGCCCAGGAGCAACCAGTTTACATCTAAAGCTACGACGCTTTCTCAAGCCTCCTGCCCCGTTGTCACCAGATATAACCTTAATCTTGATGTGAAAGTGTCAGGCCTGTGGACTGGTGACTGTGTGATTGAATCCACTGAAGCTCTGCTCAACATGGCTCTCCATGACTTCACTGCCTCCCCTGAGCTCTTCATCTGTCCTTTTCTGTTGCTGTGAGTGAGATTGCTGTGCTGTGTTGTTCCTCTCTGTGTGCACTGAAACGAAGCAGAGAGAGAGTGTGAGAAATATTTAAAGAGCCCCATCACAGAAAATGGCGTCCTATTGAAACCAGATACCGACTCCTGTGTGATGTGAGCGTTAGGTGTACAAAAAGGAGTTTGCCTTACCATTCTTTTTTGCTGTTATTTATTTGAGCTTGGCAGTCATCAAGCGTTTTAGATTCAACTTTGAGGAATGTCGGAGGAATATGGTGAAAATAGCAAACTGTAACTTTAATACATGAAATGGAGTTTGAATTGAATTGGTCACAACTTAACTTACAGGATGTTGAATTTGAATTTGAACGACAGGAAAATACATTTACTGAATTGCAATTTCAAAGACATTAAGCAGGTATTAAACTCATAAAATAACTTTTCTTAACTGATTACATTTTCAATTAATACAGCCACCAACATTTTTATTTAGTTCAATTCAAACCCTAACCACAAAATGTACTTTGACAAAAAAATTTTTATTTTTTTTTAAAGTGACATCTTTTGACTGGACACTATAAGTAAACTAGAGCATTCTGAGAATTGAGTTTTCCAATTATGGTCCATAAAATGAAATTGAATTTATTTGATGCAATGTATTAAATATACTTTCCAAACATTGCTAATTTTATTTAATGCTTCTAAAAATAGCTCATATGTTGCATCTTTGATCATATTTATAGGTAATTGATACCGAAACACAAAATACACTTACATTTCTTTAACTTTAGCTTAAATTCAAATCTGCATCCTGTTTGCTTAGAAATGGACCAAACCATTGAGTCCTGCGAAAAGTTTTTTTTAAACAGTTCCTATCAAAATGACGATGAGCTTTTTGCTTCATAGGAATGTCTAGTACACTTAGAGTATATATATATATAGTAGAGCACATAGAAATTGTGGATGAAATGCCTTACAGAATGATGATGCCATATTTTAAAAGAAAGTGTTTTGGAAATATATATAGGCTATGGAGACTTGAGAATAGTTGATGTTTGAATGGGACACGTTTTGGACAACCTCTTTAAATAAACACACATATATTACAGTCAGGGGGAAGTGTCCTAAAAATTAACCATTGTGTTTTACTGTTTTTTTTTTAATTGATGTGCAATATTTTGTTGTTGTTGTTGTAAATGAAAACATTCCTTATTTTTATGCACAGAAAACCTTCCTTTTTGTCTTAAGCGTCTGTCAATGAAATAATATTGCAAATTAAATATGCCCATATTAGTAGCATTTTCTTTTAAACATTTATACTTGGAAAAACAAGTTTGTGTTGACATTTTCAGGATGGATTTTTTGTCATTACGGCCTTTTTTAACGAACTAAATGTTTAATTAATGTGTGCTACTTTTTCACTTTTTTTCACTCAAGAACAGCATGTGTCTTAACAGAACTGTATTCACTCTCAGAAAGCTTCAATCTGGTACATTTGAGCTGGATTTGCAAGTATCCAGTATACAGTTTTAATATAGAGCATCTCAATGTGAACCGATTGAAAACTGACTGAATTTCCAGAGATTTACCCAAACATTATAGTACCATCTGTGCAAGAACCTCAGCATGCTTTGGCACATCTCCATTATTTCTGAAGTCTGGCAAATATCACTATATGTGATTTTGCATCTGAAGAAAAAACAATCAGAAAATGTCTTCTCTCCACTCTAACCACTCTCCCCATATTTTACCATTAAGTGTACTTGCCTGGAATTCTTTTGAGAACACACTCGCTCGCACATTTGCAAAGGTATCTTTTACCATCAAATGATTGTTACAGCAATGTATCACAATCTGATGACATTTCTGCAGTTGAATCTGTATTGATACTAGAAACTCTTTCAGACGTTACCAAGCTCCCTGTAATTGTGGCGCTGATAAGAAAATACACTTCTCGTTGCTTACAATGTGAATTTCACCCCACAATATGACCTCATTAGCACTGTATTATTTTACTAATTGAATCAAGTCATTAACACAGAGGAAGGGCCTCATGTTTTATTGTTTTTTGGTGTGTGTGTAGCATGATCTTTTTGTATGCATTGCTATTTATTCTTGTAGTGAGTGTGATGTGTGTGATTACAAATGACTTCATCATCAAATAAAACCAGCTAGACACTTTCATATATACAGTATATATAATATTATATTTATTTACATGATATATACAGTATATCCAATGAATATATACCATGTGTACAATGATAAAAAAGGAAACTGCAAAAGTCTTTGACACCAGTGTTCTACTATGTAATGTGTTATTTTTAAGGGGCATCATCACGTCATGACTGAAATCCGCAGGCTGAATAACACTAACAGTTGCCATTATAATGTAATTGGTCTGCTACCACCATGGCATCTTCCCATATTCATTGTATGAGATGTTGTCCAGTTTTACACCGAAATGAAACAGTGACGGTTATGTTTTTTGAGCTGTACTATTAACGCATCATCCTAGTGTCCCAGACTTCTGCACTATAACAGTACAAGACATTCTGCGTCCACCTCAGAATAATGTACAAGCTTTAATGAGGGATGGATTTAATTATTTAATAATGGAGAAGCAAAACAAGTAGCTTAATGTGTTATTAATGACACCAGGTATGAAATATCAGTGTACATGATATGTAACCCTGGATTTGCAGAGTATTGGACGGATTCTCACCTCAAGACTGTAGATTGCAAGGCCTCAGCAGAGTGTGTGATTCGTGCTGGAGTAGAAAAGAAACTGTGGGTTTGATTAGTATTTATAATGCACTTGCTCTGAATGTAATTACAATTATATGTTTGTCACTGTCTAAAAGTAAAAACACACTTTCTGTAAAGCAATAGCAAAGTTGATTTATTTGCTAGCTTCTCTGTGATTGAACTATTTAGACACATTCCTTTACCATAGCAGGAATGTTTGTAACAGTATTTACACTATTAAACCAACTACTGAGAGCGTATATTACTAGAATGTCTCTTTCATCTCACACACGGTCAGCATGATTTTCAGTTACTGGTCCTGGTCATTATCCAGAACGGTAGCTGTTGTGTATTTACCCCGAGTGTGCTGTGTAATGTGCTCAAATATACACACTACTGTTCAAAAGTTTGGGGTCGGTAAGTTTTTTTCATGTTTCCTGTTCTTATGCTCACCAAGGCTGCATTTATTTGATAAAAAAATACAGTAATACTGTGAAATATTACTACAGTTTAACAGAAGTGTTTTCTCTTTTAATATATTTGAAAATGTAATTTATTTCTGTGAAGGCAAAACTGAATTTTCTGCATCGTTACTCCAGTCTTCAGCGTCACAAAATTCATTATAATACATTGATTTGATGCTCAAGAATTTCTTATGATTATCAATATTTAAAACAGTTGTGCTGCTTAACATTTTGTAGGATTATTTGATGAATAGTATGTCATTTATTTGAAATATAAAACTTATAACATTATACATTTCTTTCACTTTTGATCTATTTACTGAATCCTTACTGAGTAAAACTATTCATTTCTTTTCTCTTTTTTTATCTGGTAACACTTTATTTTAGTGTCATCGTTACACGTTACATGTAGTTACTATAGTAATAAATAAATTATGCATAATTACAGTACATGAAACTAACCCTAAACCAAACCCTCATCCTAACCGTATATTCAGAACATGTAGTAAATTATTATTACTCAGTACTTAAAGGGATACTTCACTTTGAAATTAATTTTTGATATTTGATGTTTTAGCTTACCTCAAGGGCATCCAAGATGTAGGTGTCTTTGTTTCCACAGTATTTTCAATTTTGATATTTTTCGGTCAAACCGTTCGTGTCTGTCAGTCATATTATCGAGGTTTAGGGGGTCCACCTCAAAGAGCATGCACAGAGAAGTCCAAATTAAACATGATTGAATATTTATATCTTTTTTACCTCGTGTAACCACAGCCACGTCCAAGTGATCTGAAGGCACGGGCGCTTTGGTCTGTGCATGCGCCGGAAGTGATCTCTCGTGCGTGTACGTCACTCATTTTTTATACAGAGATTTCAGAAGTGTTATCCTTCATTGTGAAGATCTAAACATATTTAGATATACAGGAAATTGCAATGGATGAACGTTGGAACAACGTTGATTTTTATTCCACAACCGCGCAAGAGATCACTTCCGGTGCATGATCACTAGGACGTGGCTGTGGTTACAAGAGGTAAAAATGATATAAATACTGTTCTCACACAAACCGCTCGTTTCATGTCTTAGGCCATCAATGTGTACTTACATTTACGATTCATTAAATCATGTTTAATTTGGACTTCTCTGTGCATGCTCTTTGAGGTGGACCCCATAAACCTCCATTATAAGACTGACAGACAGGAACGGTTTGACCTAAAAATATCAAAATTTTAAAATACTGTGGAAACAAAGACACCTACATCTTGGATGCCCTTGAGGTAAATTAAAACATATCAAAAATTTATTTCAAAATGAAATATCCCTTTAAAAGTATAATTACACTGTAATACTGACACAGCATAACCAAAAATCTTACTGACCCAAAACTTATAAACGGCAGCGTATAATTAGAGAAGTTTAGGTCACCCTTTATTTTAAGGTGACGTAGTTACACATTACTACATATCCTAGTAATAAGAGTAAATGATGCATAATGACAAGTAACTAACCCTAAAACAAATCCTAACCGTAACTCTATAGGAAGTACATTTAGTTAATTAATACTCAGTACTTATTTGAGCAATTATGTAACTGTCAGCTTAAAATAAAGTGTAACTAAAGTTTATTCTACACTCTCGTAATGTCAATTGAATAAACAACCCAGACAAAAGGCAGATGATTTTAAACGTTTAATTCAGGAGTTTGGATAGCATGTTTCACCCATACAATTCAGATGAGACTCCTTCATATTCAGTAATAGTGCACAATACATATCTGAGAACATCTCATTACATTTTAGTTTATGGTCCAATTCTCTCTATTACCTATTTTTGCTTATTAGCATGCATGTTACTAGGATATTGGCCGTTTATTAGTACTTGTAAACCACATTTTAATGTCTTATCCCCTTAATCCTACCCAATACCTAAACTTAACAACTTCCTTACTATTAATAAACAGTAATTAGGAGGTTACTGAGGCAAAAGTCATAGTTAATAGTGAGAACTGAACCCTAAACTAAAGTATGACCGAAATAATAATACTGTCCAGAATGGTCAAATAAAAATAAAATGTAAAAAAAGCTTCAAATTCATTCTCTACCTCACAATATGCTGATTTAATTTAGTAATTCTCCACATCACATAAGCTAAATATAGCCAAACTATTTGAATGTTTCTCTTAATTGTATTTTTCACATAGTGTATTTTTAAATCATTTTTAAATAAGGAGCATGGACATTTGGTAAATAAACATTGTTTTTTCCCCCAGTGTAGTATTATAATGTGAAAAAATAAAAACAAGCAACAGCTGGACTTCCAACTGTAAAATTAAAAATTAATAATATTCAGTATACACACTGACAAACAAAAACAGAAAATGAAGTGAAATCATCTGTACTCTTTACAAAGCTTAGCTTCCGTCACGTTGTGGTGTTCACCATACCTTCATCCGACTGGCACAGAGTCATTTTCCTCGCTTTCCGTGCATATCCAGTCAGTTTGAGACGTCGCTCAGAGGACAGTTTCACGGAAGACTCCTATAAGGCTGTGTGGGCGTTCCTGTTCCAGGCGGCGGGATCCTGCCCGAGAACTCATCCTGGAATTAGTCCGAGAACGGGTGCCTGTGAGCTCTGCGCAGGTGAAGGAGCTGAGATCGCCACAGCTGCGCAGGTGAAGGACGCCCGGACGTTTGCGCAGCGGCAGCGTCTGCGCCGATTGAGCTGGTGCAACCTCCGAAACTGTGATGGCCTGGAAACATTAATGAACATGATCGGTGAGAGGACAGGAAATTATAGGAATAAAAATGGCTGAATGGGATATTCATCTTATAAAACCTAAGATATGCTCATTTCGAATGATCAAAACATTGCTGAAAAACCTTAAATTGAACTAAATCTACTTCATGCCTTCTGTCATCAGATTGACAGTTTGTACTTTTTTAGCAAGTAAAAGGCCTTTTAATATAACTGTAAAAAACATCCATCATTAAATTGTGCCGCTTTTCCGTTAAAATTTTTATCTTTTTATAAATTAAATTTTACTTTTATATTGAATATTTATATTTTAGAATATTTATAAGTGAAGCATGCAATGATTACAGAATAACCCAAAAAAGGTGCAAATATTGGCAATCACTGATTTTTGAAATCCAAAACAAATCCAAATCAGAAATAGTCTAACTATTGCGTCCCTTGTTCCACGTCCTGTCTGCTCGTTATATATATATATATATATACCTGAGATAAATATTTATGAGATAAATATCCTCAATGTACAGTGTTTGTTACTTGTTTTATCTACTTGTTGCTCTTTACATATCTATAGTTCTACATTGTGATTTCCTATCGTGTTTGAGCACTGGTTATCCAGATTTGGTGATCCTGAAAGGTTTCTATCCTGATCAGATTGATCCAATCCGACGTTGCCCTTAAAAACTGGCTCAAAAGTAAGCTGGATTACGTGATCACGGATCGCAAAAAAAAAAAAAAAAAAAGGATTACTAAATCCGGACCAATTTTATCCAGATTAAACATTTTGAAAAACCATGCCCAGATGTATAAAATATGACACTTTTATGATTTTGTCTAAAGGTTTAATAAACTGTTCCAACTATTTGATGTTAGGCTTTACAGGGTTAAAGAGATGTGAAAAAATGAAAATTCTGTTCATTTACTCAACAGTTTATGGGCCCCAATGACTTCCATAGTATTTTTTTTTCCTACTATGAAGTCAATGGGGCTCATCAACTATTTGGTGGTTACGCATGTTCTTCAAAACATCTTCTTTTGTGTTAAGAAAGAAACTTATACAGATTTGGAAAAACCGAGTATGAGTAAAAAGATTAAATGACGACAATCTATGAAACTATCCCTGTAAAAAGTCACGAGCTAAAAGATCACCCACTTGAACACCAAAGCTAAATGTGTCAGAGTTCAATTCTTTTTTTGTGTGTGTGTGTGTCTTGCCTGGTCGATGAAGCTGGCACAGCGAACGGCCTCCTCCATGTGTTCCTCATCAGAGCGCAGCACAGTTTTGATGCTGTTGACCAGCTCCTGTACCTCCGGGGTCAAGCTGCATGAGGACTGCTCCAGAAAACGTGCCACCAGCAGTTTTGTGTCTCTATAGTTCTGGTAGTCTACCATGGAGTTGGGACGAGGCTTCCGTTTGCCACGGCCCCGTCGTAGCGTAACCGTCCCTTGCTCTGCTCCTGTCGCTGACGCCGGGCCCAATTCTGTCTGTGTAGCGGCTTCGCAACTCATTACTATGGAGAGAGAGAGAGAAACCAATATCACAATGACATACTTACCCCTGCATGTTTTTGAGAAATATTTGTAAAATAAAGTACACTCATTGGAGATTAAAACTCATTCCACTTTTTTAAAGCACACAATTCTTTCAAGCAGAGCTACATAATTTGAGGGTGGAAATCTAATTGCAATTTTTCACACAAAAATACTATACTTGTTTGTAGAGCTGCTCAATTTGGCCAAAATGTTTGATATATCAATAACACACTTTATATATTAATAATATATTATTATTATGTATGTTACTATAAGATTCATATTACATTCATGTAACTAATTATTTAATATTGTTAATTATTATTATTATTATTCAATAAAAAATATTATTTCACGCCCAGGTGAATTGGATTGTCTGTTATGTTTATGTTTAAATGTTATGTAAATATGTTTAAATATTCAAGCCATTATCTATTAAAGGAGCTGTCTGCAAGATTGTGGCTAAAACTGGTACTGCAATCACTTTCAAATTAGGGTGTATCCCCCCTTACCCCATGATTCTAGGATGCCAAATATGCTGCAGGTTCCAGCAGGAATGTAGGCTGCTACAAGAAGCTGCCAATTGCAAGTGACGAGTCCTACACAGTGAGTTTTTTTCTGTAAATTATTTATTTCGGATTCATATCGAGTTTTGGGGGGTTTCGCAACGTTAAGAGTTTTTTTTTATCTGATTCCGACACGTTTGTATCTAGAGAAGAGCTGGCAACCCGAATGCCGCAACTCTACTGAGTCCGTAATTGGTAAATTGGAGGGTGACGCATCAGAACAAAACACAACTCGACAACATCAACATCAGTCAAGGGCTGCGACTTCAAATGACAATATCCTGGCCTGACTTCTGTGGTCAGTGATATAAGTATTTGAAATGAACATGATTTCTTAGTATCTAGTGACCTATCAGGGAATATTTATGATTAATTGAAATAAATTGAATTTGATTTCTTGAATACAGCTCCTTTAAATATGAACTAATTTGCATAAATGTCTTGTCAGGGTTCTGCCCTGGCAGCTTTGTCTGTGTTGTCTTTGTTTCCTGTCTCTGTGATTGTGTTGTGCTTGAACATAAGGTTTTATTTGTGTTGGCCATGTGATCTGTTCCTGCCTCCTTGTTTCCCTGTACCACACCAGAGAATGTCTAATTGAAGAGAATAGGCACTGGCTGGTTACTTCCGGGTTCTGGACTGGCTGCAGTAACACGTCTCTATCCATGCGGGGGCGCTCGCGGTCGAGTGCAGAATGAATGGGAGTCAATGGGGTTTCACCCCCAAAAATCCACGTTTCTCAGGATGTAATTTTTTGTCAAGTAATTTGAAAGTTGCATTCAAGGGAGGGCTAAGATAATGCACTCAGCTGAAAATTGCATTTTTAAGTTCACTTATCTGTTCTAAAAATCCGTTCAAAAATGTGATGACGTCACACAATAGCAGAATGCTAGCGTGTTCCGGCCAACAACAGCCTAACCTGTAAGAAATCAAAAGGACATAAGTACTCGTTCATTCGACTTTTGGCCTATAAGCTATATTGAACTTGCGGAATCAACAATAAAACCTATGTTAATTTAACGACAAGCAGGTGAAAGAGACACATTTAGCCGTTTAGCCCCATAGACTCCCATTCATTCTGCTCTCGCCCGCGATCACCTCCAGTGGAATTCTAATGGAACTGCAACCAAGATGATACACAACGGGGCTAATAGGAAGTGCCAAGGCTCTCCGTTAGACGGGCTCTGACCACACTCTCTAGTCTAGTTGTCTGTCTGAGTGTTGTCACCTGTTCCTCATGTTCTCTTCTCCCTGATTACATGAGTGTGTTCACCTGTTCCTTGTCTGAGTGTTCTCACCTGTTATTCGTTACATTCTTTTTATGTGTGCTCTTTCCCTCATGTGTTGGCAGTTCATTAGATGTTGTGCTAATGTGTACTTCTGTGCTACATCGTTTGTTTCTTGTTACTAAAGTCTATAGTATTTTATTTGTAGAAGTTTTTTTTAGTGCTTAAGTTCTGCCATTGGACCTGTCTGTCTTGTCTCATCTCCTGTGTCCCTAGTTCCAGTCCTGCTAGCAGAGTGTTCCTGTCTGCTTACACTCTTTGCTTTGGAGCAAGCCTGGTGCCTTGCTGTAGTACTTGAAGTTCCTGTCTGGCTACTGCTAGTATTCTCATGTCTCATTCTGCTCTGCCATTACTACTCTCCAGCTTACAGTCTTCTTGCTAGTTCCAACTGCTGCTCGGCTAGTTACTACGGCTGTCATTGTGTCTCATCCCTGCCTATTGTGACTGTCTGGACTGTTCACCTTTCCCACCACATCTTGTCATCTGTTTGTCAATAAAGGCATTCTACATTTGAGTCCTCCATGTCTATAACAAAAAAAGAAAATCAAGTATTTTTTTATATATATATTAGAGAGTCAAGGGTTTTTACAGAGGGGATTTTGGATTTCTCTATTTATCACTATTACTTTCAACAGCCAAAAATAAATACATTTTCAAAAAATTTAGGAATACATTTTTTTTTTTAAATCAGGAAACCTATATATGAACAAACCCCTCAGTAAAAACCTTCAGAATAGTTTGGTGTATGTAAGTGCTACTGAAGTAAATATTTCAGGCAATGTAGGAGGAAAAAATCATTTTGAGAAAAAGTCCTTTAAAGATATATACTGTAATTGAAATCTACAGACACAAATAAATAAACTGATCTAAAAGATGCAGTTAAAAGTGTCTTTTTGGATGTTTTCTCTCCACTAGTCTGGGAAAAAAAACACTTTATGAAAAAAGCAAAAAAGCACAAAATCTCAAAATTGACAGATGCATGAAAAAAAAACTTTTTCATCATCAACTCAAACATCATCATAATTCTCTAATAGGGTTTAGGACAAGAAACTGAACCGTTCTATTTGACCACGTTAAACAGAAATGTATCCACCTAAGCCAGTTGGTGTTTGTATAACGGCCAAGACCGGTTTCAGTTTTACAGGAACTGGAAAAGCATAAACACTTCACAAACCATTAATCCTACATCAGACAGACATAAGAGAAGGTTTCACTAGTGCGTGTGTGAGAAAGATTTTTTTGAAGAAGATACTTGAAGAAATTGAGTCAATTTATGGCTGTATATTTAATCGCCCTCTGCTCCCCCTCATCAGTAACACTGAGAGCCCTATATTTAAAAAAGGGCTTAAAGTAACCACTGACAGGTATAATTCCTCTAGATTTACTATCAGACCAGTACTCTGCTTTGGATACACACACCAAGTAAAAAGAAACCATCTGTAATTGGAGAGAAGCCAGTGTTCATAAACTAATTATAAAGAATTGTGTCAGTGTCTGCTCTTCGAACTTTTATGGAAAAATGTTTTTATGTATATTTAGGCTTAAAACAAGATAACTCTGCTTGTACGCTACAAGGACATATCAGCACCCTGACAAGAACATATATCCTAAAATAAGTTTTAATATCTTGTTTTTAATCTAATTTTGCTTAGGTCAAATATATTATACAGTAGTCAACATTTGAAGTGGATCAAAAAAGTTCATCAAAGATAAGAACGGGTATTGGTTCAAAAATTCATGTATAACTTTGATGAAAGGTTTTGATCCACTTCAAATGTTGACTACTGTATTGATATCTGACTCGACTCTCGCAATTGACCAAACCAGACCATTTTGAGGATTCCTTCCCTTACCTTTGGCGGTCAGGTCTAGCAGGATGGGGTCGCTGTTGGACCTGCGGAGGCGATGTCTGTGGGGTTTCCGGCTGTTGGAGACTGTGCTGTGAGGCTGTGGTGAGGACTCTATCGGGGGGGTGGGGCTCAATATGGCCGTCTGACAGCTCCGGTCTGAAGAAAACATGCAAACAAACTACATAAAAAAAGTAAACATCATTTGTTCTAAAGTTTTTCTTGTTTTCTATTTAGGTTTGTCCTGTGTCAGCAACTGCTTGGTCAAATCCATCAAAAGAGGAATCTGGCCAAAACAAACCTAGTCTATAAAGTTTACCAGAGACCATTTTAAGAGCTGTCCTGTCTAAATCAAGAGGTGTAACATCATGTTCCTTCATAACAAATAACAATATCTAAAATCTATCAATCTATCTTAATCTTTTTGAAAGAAGTCCCTTATGCTTACCATATTTTATTAAAAATACAGTAAAACCACGGTAATATTGTGAAAAAAATATTACAATTAAAAAATATGTATATATTCTATTTTAATGTATTATGAAATGTAATTTATTCCAGTGATACAAAGCTGAATTTTCAGCAGCCATTACCCCATTCTTAAGTTGCATGATGAATTTTTAAAAAAAGTTTTTTAAAAAAACAGCATATATTTGATATAAAAATCACTTTTGGTCAATTGAACGCATCATTGCATAATTTTTTTTTTAAATTCCCTTCTAAATCTGTAAATGACAAACATGTGAAGGTCATGCAGTTCAAGTTCTGCTGTTATTAAACCAAATTCATCTTCATTTTTTAATTCAATTCCTTTTCAAATAGTTTTGCTGATAATATAATTGGTAATAAAAAAGTCTGTGTGAAATTAGAACATTTTGAAAAGTGCCCCCATCTGAATAGTAACCTGTGGAGGATCATTAAAAACATGTCGTGCTATCTTTGAATGTGTTGAAGGATACAGACAGCTATAAAAAGAAAAATAAATCCCTCACCGAGGAACACTGGACATACAACTGACGCCACTAAAATACATTTCCTTTAATACACAGATGACATAATTATGGACTGGTACTGTGATACGCTGTGAGCATCTTGATTAAATATAGAGTACCAGATTCATAGAAGCGGTCTCAATAACACCTTCACATAGCAGCTCCAGATTTTGTTGATTATAACACCATTACACCTAACCTGCAATGTTTGAAAAGGTGAACTGTCTTTTGTTCTATGTTAAAATACTTTCACATGCCATGGTTTAATGTTCAGAGACAACTGTAAAGGCCCGCTGACACCATGAACGATAACTATAAATATAACTATAAGTTAACTATAACTCAGTTTGTTGTCTGTCGCTTTAAATGCTCAGGATGGATTGGCTGTCAATATTCGTATCAATTATCAGCTGGTTAATCAATTATCTTCCGGTCAAACGAACTTGACTATTTGTCTAAGCACACATAATGCAGCGTACTGCTGATATTTACGCTACGCCAATTTTAACTTTATCAAACGACGAGAATACTGTTTGTGCGCAAAAACAAACAAAAATAACGACTTTATTTCAACTATTCACTTCCTTCTCCACCATGGGCCTGTAGTCAGTTAACGTAGTGTTATTGCGTAAAGCTACGTCACACGTAGGCTCACTATTGGCCGACGCTGGTCATGTGTGTGATGCGTGTGACGTACAATAACAAAAGCTTACGCTATTAAACTAGTAACCTGACTCGCGCAGAGGGAGAAATAAACGAATAGTTGAAATAAAGTCGTTATTTTTGTTGTTTTTATGCGCACAAAAAGTATTCTCGTCGTTTGATAATTTAAGATTGAGCCACTGTAGTCATTTGGACTATTTAACGATGTCTTTAATGACTTTTCGAGGACAGCAAGTCATTCCCTCAAGAAGCCTATGGACTCGTATGCAGGAGCAATCTTAATATCTTAAATATCTTAATTTGTGTTCCGAAGATGAACGAAGGTCTTACAGGGTTGGAACAACATGAGGGTGAGTAAATACTGACAGAATTTTCATTTTTGGGTGAACTAACTCTTTAAAAACAGCCATTCACTTTCACCACTATAAAGCTGGAAAGAGCCAGGACATTTTTAAATATAACTCCGTATTGTATTTGTCTGAAAGAAGAAATGTCATATGGACCCAAGATGACTTGAGGGTGAGTAAATAATGGGCTAATTAAAATTTTTGGGTGAACTAACCCTTTAAGTCTGTAATGTCAATGTTTATCTATACTGCTCCTCTCAACAATTCTATATGCAAAAATACAACTAGTTCATACCGTCACTGGGCGTCTCCATCTCTGCACTCTCTGTGAGGACCTCGGTTAGATCGGTCATTTGCACCTCGGTATTCTGGGCCTAATATAAATACAGAAGGTCAGTGAGCGGACAAGGACTGTACTTGATCGAGCTGTTGCCAATGTAAGCCTGCAGGACCAGGACATGGTGCCATGTTTGCTGAAATGAGGTCAGTAAGGTCTGCTTCACAGAGTTGAAATGCTATCATGATTAAATGCTGTAAATGCTAACTGCCTTTTGACTTTCATCACAGAGGTGATTATGCGATAGCAGATGGCATATGATCACTATATGAATCAGTACCTGAGCATCTGGCTGCGGTGCAACAGCTTCATAAGGTGGAGGAGGGTCTAGAGGACAGAACACCTCCACTCCTTTAATTCGGGCACCGTATATATGAGGAAGAGGTATCATACCGTCACCAAACATCCTGTCAAAACACACACATTTACACTGTAAACAAGCCATGAGAAAATATAACGACAGTGTAATATATAACACTGAAGATATAGTGTTTGATTAGGACATCCAATGAAACAGGAGTATATCATGCTTTCCCACACACAAACTTTAATCCTGTTTTAGGTTGCCAAAATACTTTGGTTGCCTGCCAAACACTGAGCCACCACCCACAAATCTGATAAATCCTGCTGTATTTTTGGTGAAGAATTCAAGATCAAAGTTTATGTCCGTCTATGTGTGTGTGTGTGTGTGTGTGTGTGTCACTAATACTTCAGAGGATCATGGAATGCTTGAAAGATGTGACCATACTGTATACTGTAAAAAGTGAAATTATGCAGATGTTACCTTAATAGACATTTCACTTGATTAGTTTACATATACAAACATTACTGTTTAAAAGTTTATTGAATGGAATTAATATTTAGCAAGGACACGTTAAATTGATAAAAAGAGACACTAAAAATATTTATACTAATGTTAGAAAACTATTTTTTGCTGGTTTGCTGTAATAAATGCAGTTTTTTAACTTTCTATTGATCACAGAATGGATTTCCACAAAATATTATTAGCAGCACTATTTTCAACATTGATAATAATAAAAATGTTTCTTGGGCATATTAGAATGATTTCTGAAGGATCATTTGACACTGAAGACTGGAGAAATGATGCTGAAAATTCATCTTTGACCACAAGAATAAATTACTTTTTAAAATGTAATATATTAATTATATTATATAATTATATTATAATTATGTTATATAATTATATAACAGAAAACAGCTATTTGAAATTGTAATAATATTTCACAAAATTATAGTTTTTACTGTATTTTCTATCAAAAATGCAGAACGCAAAAGTTCTTGCTTAAAAAGCAAAAGACTTGATTAAAAAAAATAAACTAACTTTTGAACTGATTTATTCAGGATAAGAGACTATAGAGTATGTTGTACATTATTCTTATTACTTAAATTAAATTTAATATTATGCAAATTAAATATTATGTGTTTTATATTTAATCATGATTAATCCAAATGTTTACTTTTTTGTTTGTTTCATTTTAAATAAAAGTAGTGTAATTCATAAAATAAAAGTATAGATTAATTTATGTGTCATTAAAAAGTAAACCCAACACAGTCAAAGTGATTCAGTAATCATAATTCAATTAAATCATATTTTACCTCCGAGCCAGACGAGGGGTGTAAGAGTAGAAGGTGGAGAAGTATGAAGGAGGAGGTGCAGGGGCTACAAATTCGTCTGGGTCAGGAAGATGAGTCTGCTCATCCACTTCCTCTGGGACAGGTCTAGCCTCTTCCTGCCAAAGACCATCATAATCACGAGACCAGGGCTTAGAAATATCTGACACAACATGTGTAAACAGTCTTAATACGCTCTGCCTCACACTGACCAAGAATATATTATATTATATATTTTTTTCTTCTTCATATTTTCTGTAATATGATTTATCTCACCATGCAGGGCCGTCTGGTTGAGAAGATCTGGAGATATCTGAGCGCAGCAGCAACCAGACACACAGCTGTGGCTAAAGCATTCAGCGCACACAATGCAAAGAGCACTTTCTGGAAGAGAGAAAACTTCATGGTCTGTCGTGGGATTCTGCAGTCAAATATTTTTCCTAACCTGACCCAATTATAACAAACTGCATATTTCCGTATTTCCAAATTAATGATTTCCTATATGCCAGTTTGACGTCTCTTATATATTATATCTGTCTTCTATATACACACACCAGATACTTTTTAGATACACCTGTTCAACTTCTTGTTGACACATATCTAATCAGCAAATCACATGGCAACTCAATGCATTTAGGCATGTAGGCATGGTCAAGACGATCTGTTGAAGTTCAAAATGAGCATCAGAATGGGGAAGAAAGGTAATTTAAGAGACTTTGAACATCCCATGGTTGTTGGTGCCAAACAGACTGGTCCGACTCCTTCAAAAACTGCTGATCTACTGGGGTTTTCATCTTTCTGATGTCTACTTCCAGCAGGATAATGCACGTCACAAACCTCAAATCATCTAAAATTGGTTTCTTGAACATGACAATGAGTTGACTGTACTAAAATGGCCTCCTCAGTCACCAAATCTCAATCCAATAAAGCAACGTTAGGATGTGGTGGAATGGGAGATCCACATCATAGATCTGCAGAAACCAATTTGAAATGATTCAAGCTTTGTGACATGGTGCATTATCCTGCTGGAAGTAGCCATCAGAGGATGGGTACATGGTGGCCATAAAGGGATGGCCATGGTCAAAATCAATGCTCAGGTAGGCCGTGGCATTTAAAACGATGCCCAAGTGCCACTAAGGGGCCTAAAGTGTGCCAAGTAAACATCCACTGCACCATTACACCACCACCACCAGCCTGCACAGTGGTAACAAGGCATGATGGATCCATGTTCTCATTCTGTTTACGCCATATTCTGACTCTACCATCTGAATGTCTCAACAGATATAGATACTAATCAGACCAGGCAACATTGCTGTTGTAGTCCATGCTGTTGTAGCCCATCCGCCTCAAGATTGTGTATGTTGTGGCTTCACAAATGATTTGCTGCATACCTCGGTAGTAACAAGTGGTTATTTCAGTCAAAGTTGCTCTTCTATCAGCTTGAATCAGTCGGCCCATTCTCCTCTGACCTCTAGTATCAACAAGACATTTTCACCCACAGGACTGCCGCATACTGGATATTTTTCCCTTTTCACACCATTCTTTGTAAACCCTAGAAATGGTTGTGCGTGAAAATTCCAGTAACTCAGCAGTTTGTGAAATGCTCAGACCCAGCCTGTTCTTTCCCATTCTGACATTCAGTTTGGAGTTCAGGAGATTGTCTTGACCAGGACCACACCCCTAAATGCATTGAAACAACTGCCATGTGATTGGTTGATTAGATAATTGCATTAATGAGAAATTGAACAGTTGTTCCTAATAATCCTTTAGGTGAGTGTGTGTGTGTGTGTGTGTGTGTGTATATATATATATATATATATATATATATATATATATATAAAAACCAAGTAGTAGTGTAATAATATTTCAACACTTAAAAATAATTTACAAAGATGAACACACACCTTGAGCAGGATTCTCATTGTGCCACATGCATGACCTGCGTAGATCTTAATCAACTTGTCCTCTTTGCACTGAGCGCTCGGTGTTTCTGCACAACAGTAACAGAGATCGCCCTGCTCACTCTGAAACACAGAAACACATGTATTATGTTCGTTTCTCATTGATGTCTGATGACATAATATAGTGAAACTTAGAAGAACTGCTTGGATTCAATGTAGGAGACTTAGGATGAAGTTTCCAGGCACTTGTCTACATTTGACAGTCTTTTGATCTGCATGTGATAACAGCTCAACGATATGAGCTCACTAATATGGCAGGCACCATTTTCATGACAAGTGGA